TATCTTTTGGATATTAATAATGGCTTAGATTAACTCTATTTTACTTAAATCTAATTGGTTGAACCCGAATCTAAATTTTGGGTCAAACAGTTTGGCACCGTCAGTGTGGATTTCCTAACCAATCTTTTTAGTTTCCTTTAGATCTACAACTCAAGTGAGTTGCTAACCTAACAAACCACAAGGTATTTCTCTTTCTCTACACGTACGGAAATTTATATGGCAGGTAACCAAGGAGACGAGACTAAAGTGACAGGTGACATTCCCGGTAACCTCATGAACGCTATCAACGAGAGTTATGAAATGCTAGGTGATGATGTGACACTCACTACCTCCCCCAGGCGCGAGAGGTCGCCTCTCCCACATTGTAGCACAACAAAACCAAATAGAAAAAGGGCATCCACGTCCACAGGACAAGAAACGCCACCGGCTATGAAAAAGCTCCTCGAATCATAGTTGACTAACACATTAGTAAGCGTGCTCAACAAGCAAGCTATATGCATGACCATAGAGACCGCAAGAGCTTATACGATACAACGAGGAGACAAACAAGACGATCAAGCAGACCCTCCAACTTCAGGTATAACTCACAATGTAACTAACAATGCAGGTGATGGCGTCCTTGCCGTTGTTCTGAAGAGAATGTAAGAAATGGAGAATGAGAACAAAACGCATCAAATGAAAGAACACCAACAATGAGTCGACAAAATACTGGGCGCCCCTAAGCTAATGCCAAAGAGGGACGCCGACAGGTTCGTAGAGCAGCCGTATAGCGAGGAAGTAGCCCATATTCTATACCAAAGACCTTCAAAATGCTACCATATCCCAGGATATATGACGGAACAACCGACCCTAAATATCACGTGACTCATTATGTAATCGCCGTGAAGGATAACGATCTCACCAAGGAACATGTGTCATCTATTTTGTTGAAGCAATTTGGCGAAACCCTCACGGGAGGGGCATTAATATAGTATTCACATCTGCCAGTCCACTCTATAGAAACCTTCAAAGAAATGGCCGATAAGTTCGTGACGGCGCATGCCGGGGCCAAGAAAATCGAAACGAGAGTAAACGACATCTTCACCATCAAGAAGTCCCTAAGAGAGAGACTGAGGGATTTCCTCGCCCGATTCAACATGGTAAGGATGACCTTACCAAATGTGTCTGAAGGGATGGCAGTCGTAGCCTTTCAGAACGGGTTGAGTAGAGAGGGTTCAAGAGCAACCAGAAAATTATTGAGCGGGTTGATGAAGTACCCTCCAATCACTTGGGACAAAATCCATAATGCTTATTGTGCAGATGTCCGAGCAGATGATTATGACCTTAACGAACAGACTCGACGACTCATCTCATTACAAGCCGAGCCTAGGAAAGAACAAAGAGATAACATCAAGAGGGATCATCCAATATCACAACCAAATAGGGAACGACATCAGCCTTATGTCAGGGCCCCCGCCCCTCCTTCTTTCCAATATGATGATGGCACGTCTAGATCGAGGATGGGGACTCACAGGAATAAGAGAGGTATGACCTACTTGTTATCTGCTCACAATATTTATGTATCACCTACAGAAATAGTCTACGCCCTAGAGAAACCCAGAAAAAGGTGAAGTGGCCGCCAGAGATGAGGTCCAACCCGAATACAAGAAAATCGGACACCCTCTACGAATTCCACCAGGAGCGCAGACACAAGACATAATATTACATCGCTCTTAGGCAAGAAGTTGTGAACATGCTGCAGCAAGGACACCTTAAAGAGCTACTGAGTGACAAGTAGAGGAACAAATTCGCTAGAGGTCGTGAACGTCAAGGTCCGCCGAAGCTACCCTCACCGGCTTGTACCATCAACATGATCATCGGCGGCCGCGACGATGGCTCCATCAACGGATTCAAGTTCACTACCACTCACAAGCTCAAAAGATCGATCACCCACGAACAGTATGACAGACTCGAAGAAAGTATCATCTTTGATGAGTCAGATGCCGACGTTTTGACTTTACCTCACAACGATGCTCTCGCCATTACTTTACGTATTTTAGATACTGATGTCAAACATATCATGGTAGATGATGGGAGTGGAGCATGCATTATCCATACCCGAGTCCTCGCCTAGATGAGACTCGAGGACAAGATAGTGCCACACTGCATCACACTAACTGGTTTTAATAATGTAGTTGAACGGACATCGGGCAAAATTATACTCCTCGTCCTGGCCGGCGGCATAACTCTGGAGACAACGTTCCACATAATAGACCAAGGCACCCCATACAATGTCATAGTAGGACGACCATGGATACATCCCATGAGAGCCTTCCCATCCAACCTATACCAAGTCATCAAGTTCCTAACACCTTGGGAAATATTCAGCATTCGAGGAGAATAATGCACTTCCTGGGAATGCTACCGCATCGCCTTGGATGGAACGACAACCCAACAAAAGAAAGATAAGGAAAAAGAGGCATGGTAATCAACAGGGTCGAGGTCGACACGGGTTGAGACCAGGGACGTCATCATGGACCCCGAAATGGCCGAAGTCGCGGACTCGACTATAGAGGACCTCGACCCCGTCCAACTAGATCCCATAGACCCCTGTAAAAAGGCATTTATCGGTTGTAAACTCCGAGAACCAGGTAAATTTGGCCAATTTGTAATAACTAATGCATATTTATTTGCCCTCAGTCATGCATATATGCCAGGTACCCCCAAGGAGATCGCCACACACAAATTGAACGTCAACTCATTCTATCCCCCGGTAAGGCAGGTCAGACGAAAGTTCAACCTCACCATCAATGAGGCCGTACATGAGGAGGTAGATAAGCTATTAGAAAATTACTCAATTAGGGAATCGAAATACCCCAAATGGATAGCCAACATGGTAATGGTCAAAAATAAAAACGGAAAATAGAGGATGTGTGTAGACTTCACAGATTTAAACAAAGCATGGCCGAATGATTCCTTCCCGTTGCCACATATCGACCAAAGACCTTGATCTCTTCTTTTTGTTTTTAGCCGAATTTGGCCTCTTTACAGTCGTATCTACTGTGATAAGAAAGCACTCTTAGTTCAGTTCGGTAGAACGATTGACGCAACAGCTGGGCACGATCTGTTGAGTTTCCTGGATGCATACTCGGGCTATAACCAGATACTTATGGAAGAAGAGGACCAGGAGAAAATCACATTCATCACCCCACCGAGGAACATATTGTTATAGGGTCATGCCGTTCTGGTTGAAGAACGCAAGAGCAACCTATCAAAGGTTGGTCACAAGAAAGTTCAAAGACCAACTTGGCAAAACCATGGAGGTATATATCGACGTCATGATGGTCAAATCCGTAAGGGCGAAAGAAAAAATCAAAAAATAGTCTTTTTCAAAATTCAATTTATTTTTCCAAAATTACTATTATGTATGTATCCCTAAAAAGTCTTTTACTCCTCACATTAACTATGCTGCAATATTTAATTAAGGATAGTTTAGTCACACTAACTATTTTTGTCTAGAATTTTATATTTCCTTAATGGATGTGCCCAAAGCAAATTGGTCACTTATTGTGGACCGGATGGAGTATTATCTTACTACAAAATCAGTTAACATATCTTTTGGATATTAATATTGGCTAAGATTGACTCTATTTTATTTAAATCTAATTTGTTGAACCCTAATCTAAATTTTGGTTCAAACACATCGTAAGACAGTAGCTCACTGCCACACCACACAACTCATCTTCAACCGCTAGAACCACAAACAATCAAATAGGAAGGAAATCTGAGGAACACATGCACAACAAAGAATAAGAGACTCACCATAGGTGAAAGAATAACAGTTGGTCAACAAAAGCTGCTTGTTGGCCCTGATAATTCCCAGAGAACTTGTTATGCAGTGCTTTATTTCAACTGGGTTTTGACATTACGTAGGTGTATTATATTCTTAGAGGCTTGGGTTTTGGAAAATGTCCCCTTAGAGCATAGAATGACATTTCAATGACAATAGACAAAACTAGGGTAGCTTTTCAGTTACCAAATAAAGCAAAGTGACCTTTTAGTTAAAAAACAAAATAAAGTGACTTTTCAATTAGAATGGGCACAGTAATGTGACTTTCAAGTTATAAAATAAAATAAAGTGACCAGAAATCAACTCCATATTTAAAATCATAAATTTTAAAACTTTTTGGAGTTATCGTCCTAAACATAAAATGGGGGCGAATTTATAGACCAAATCATGGGTACGTAACTCATGTTCTTTCCGTCAAACTATGTATTTTATGTACATATTTCTTAAAATTAATCTAATATTATCTGTTGGTACCCATGCTCCAAAAAGATAAAATTGTGCACTTCATTGAATATTGATTTATTAATCCAAAAGAACATGGATTGATTCCCATTTACTACTTTTTTCTTCTCTTTCAGGGGTCGTTTGGTAAGATACATTAGATAAAATAATGCATGCATTAACTTTTGTATTGATAATACCTTGTTTGGTAAACTTTTTGAACTCAAGCATTAATTATGCAACCATTAGTTATACACCCTGTTTGGTATTATCCTATGCATAACTAATACATTAGAAACCATGGTATTAGCAATGCAATAAGTTTTAATGCATGCATTAGCTTAGTTAAAGACAAAATTGTCCTTCAAAATTTATGCTTGATTAAAATATACTATTATATTAATGCAAGTTTGAAATAATCCAAGAAAGTGAGAAATAAAGTTATATCCCTAGTAAATAAATAAATACTTAGCATATTTTATTTTTTTATAAATAAATATTCCGTTTTATACTACAATATAGATAAACAAATAAAATAATTTCTTAAAATCTTTTTCATATAGAAACATTCCTCAAGTATATGTTTCTTTTAAAAAGATAAAGTGATGGACTAGTTATGAGGGTATTTTTGTAAACAAACAATTCTTTTAGAAATTTTGTAATGCTTTAATACATCAAACCAAACAATGGATAAGAAATATGTGAACATACCTAATGTCAACATAACTAATGCAAGCATAACGAATACCAGCATTACTAATACACCATATTCAGCATTATTCTTATACACTCCGCCAAACGGCTCCTTAGTGAGGCACTCATGCATGTTCTAGAAATTCTAAAACCACCTCCGCATAAAATACAACTCACTTCAACTCAAAGTCCATTAATTAAACCTAGTACAAAAAAAGAATTTAATATAAATTCATTCAAAAAAAAAAAAAAAAATTCATTCTATAACATAATGAATACTCAGAATAATGGAGAACCAATTGGTGAAGTTACCAAATAAGGGAAGTGATTGTTGCAGTTACTCTTGTTATTCTCAAAATCCCCAGAGCAGCTTTCCCAAAAACTTTCCAGCAGCTCACCTGGATAGTTTTCAGCCGTTTGGCTACAATCATATTCTGGGAAAAGCTCTGTCAAGTCTGTTTGGAGAATATTGTTGTCTTGTGTTATTTTATCTTCATGTAGGAAAAATTCTTCAATGCAGCTAATCGTGGGCAAGGACAACTGTTCACCAACTTCCACAGTTTGTTCTATATTTAGCAAGTTCTCTGATGGTGTTGGAGACTTGAGGTTTTTGTTGAAAAAACCATCAAGAAAAGTTGCCCTATTAATGTCGTCATTTAAAGTTGGTAATTTTGTGCAAGACATTTGCCAAGCTTTTAGTATGTCAAGACAAGGAAGCTGAAAATTGCGAGGTTGATAATTGTTGTTATTGTTGTATGTTGTGGAGTTGACCGCAACGCAATTGTTCGATACCATCCGAGAAGCATAAGATTCTAGAGTACTCCAGGCTGAAAATATATGCGCAGATAGTGGTTTATTGCCAAAATGGCTGACGACGGAAGCTCGGGAACGAGCTTTATTGGAGTTTCGAACAAGCCTAGCTTCTGCTTCAAGTCTAGCAGTTTCCCATTCAGCCATGTGACTGAGGCTTGCAATGGACTTATTGGATTGACTTGTATCTCTCTTTGGCTGATGAGTCATGGGATCAATGCCCATTTTGATTAATCTCTTCTTCAAACGTGTGTTCCAGTAGTTCTTTATCACATTGTCGCTTCTGTTTGGCAATAGAGATGCTATCGCTGACCATCTGAACCATAAAGAAGTTTGAACTATTAGGAGTATATGTTATTGTTGCACAAATTAGGCCAACATTCATAGTATTGGAGATAAATTTTGCTACTATGATTGAGTGATCATTATGAAAATGGTGATGATAATAATAATAATAACTCTTGCTAATAATTATGTTTGTGCCAAAGCTTACAATTGTAAAACTTACCCCGTTACCCGCATCAAATATTTACTCTTAATCATTTTGCTACTTCAAACCTAATTAAGGTAGTTTACGAAATAAGAAGGTGAAGGGGCAATGCCTTGTTTTTCTTAGAATTAAAAAATTCTCCCCCCCTTTTTTTTTTTTTTTTTTAATTT